TTGCCTTTCCCAGGATTCTGATATAACCAGAGACCCCCAATGACGTGGTGTTATGTGGATGAGCTTCTAATTGGGCTTAAGCATCCCATTTAGGCGTGTACTCCCCTCTCATGCTAATTGTATGGCCCTTTTTTGCTCTTCTACTCCTTTTAAGATCAATACAGTATTGATGCTTCTTATACTGTTAGACAACAGACAAACGTACAGTGCAGGGCCTAAATAAATTCCATTGCTCGAGCGTGTAATTCAAAAGTAGCTAACATTTTCCTTTAACATTTTATTAAGACTTTAATAAGGCTTTAAAGAGGGCTTTACAAACATTATCTATAGAAGCCTCACAACACACCTGGGAAGGAAAGAGGGAAGTATGATTATCTCTGTTTTACAGGCCCGGATGCTTTTAGTGACTTGCCCAAGGCCATACAAGGAGTCTGTGGCAGACCTAAAAGTAGAAGTCTCTCGGCCCATTAAGTCACTCAGTCTCCCTTGTGCATTTTTAATACACATTGGGGATGTGTGAAGAATTAGAGTTTTAGGACTGAATTAGAACCAGAAAGGACAGGAAAAAACCTTTCAAAACTGATTTTCAAAACAAAGCATGGGAATGAGAGAGTGAGAAACATTTAGACAGGAGGGTTCCTATTTGTTCCCCCTTTTTTTCCTGCTCTACTGCCACTAGATTGTATTTTATAATCCCAGCTACTATCATCGGTCTGATCCTGTCTGCAATTTGTTCTTTGTTCATTCTCCTGCAATTTGTTCCTCCCAAACTACAGCTGTGCATTTAATGTAGATGTACTTAGAGATATATGTATCTCTTTCTGTAAAGTGTTGTTTATAAGTAAAATGTTTTCTAGAACAACAAGAATAATCAATGCATTGATTGAAAACCATTTCACTTTTTTTCTTTTGAAGAGTATTCATTCAAAGTTTTTTTTCCTAGATCAGAGCATCTCAAAACCTCACTATTCAGGTACTAGAAAAAGTACTATATAGCAGGCTTTCCTAGGGCTCCACTTTGACAATGCCCAATGACAAGTATAGGGCACAGAAGGCAACCTTTGAGAGCCGTAAGTGCTTTGAGATTTGGAAATTATCTTGTCATAATTTCTGACCTGATCTAGTGACATATTCATACTTATCGAGCAACTTCAATCAAAAGCTCTCTTAAGCTGGTGTGACCTACCAGCAATAGTGGAACTGTTTTAGGATAGTCAAAGCAGTCTCCAAAGGGCTGTTTTTTGCTTTCCTATAATCTAATGAAATGCAAAGCCAAGCTGTCAAAAATGAATGTCAGTTTGAAAAATTAATGAGCAATGAGCTATAATTTAACAGGATTTCTATCTCACTGTTAATAATCTCTTATTAACTAAAGCAATATTGACAAGATAAGGCAATTTTGACTGAATACATGTTTTCCTGGTCTTTGTCATATTTGTATTACTAATTGACCTGTCCACATTGATGATATAATCTAGAGCTAGAGTTTTCCAGACAGTTTTGCATCTGCCAGCCTACTACTCTCTCATTAGGGAATGACAAAGGTAAGGCCAGCAATCACATACTTAATTTTAATGACCTCCAGTCTGACATAGTTCCAGAAGATCTACCCAAAAAAAATCACTCCTCTGGGCATGTTCAACATCCTACTCAGCTGAGTAACATGCTTGCCAAATTACTAGACTGTTTCCATGCTTATTAATTTGATGTTTTCTCTGCTCTAATTCTTACAACAGTTAGGCCTATAACTACTTGTTATTCATGTATTGAGTTTTATGCAGCTGTATAGAAAGTAAGAAGCAGACAAACACGTAAAACAGCCAAGCTAGCACCTTACCAGTGTTCTTCATATTTCCTGGGATGTGGACATGTTGAAATAATCAAGTTACAACTGAGATTTTTTTTTCCACTATGTCTCTTGAGCCTGGATGTCTGATAAGGTTCAATAATCAGAGATTGGAAGACACCCACAATTTGCTCTTCTTGCAAGACCCATCAGGAAAACAGTTATACTGCTTGACGTGTTATTTATGTATGATCAGGAAGAATTTAAATATTAAGCGTTTTTCTCCCTTGCTAACAGCTATTTAGAGCAATTTACATGAATGCAAACAAACTCAGAGGGATTGTACTCAGTGGATTAATTAAAAGGACAAAGTATCTTTCAGAAGAGCAGAATAAAATGATTCATTTAGAGACAGTGAGATATCCATTTTGCCTATAATCCAAAAGTGAGAGTTAATTCAACACTTGTATGTAAATAGTTTATTTAAAACATCTGTTAAATTTGTACCTATTAGATACTAGTAACTTGAAACCGAACCATTCCACTTCTCAGGAAAGATAAGTTATGCAATTACTTTGGTGCATTCATTTACAACTGATCAGCATATCATAATGTTAAAAATGCTTTCTGGACAGTAATGGGGGGGAGGATTGGAGAGAGAGAAAGCTACCAAGCAAGCATGAGAGAGGCAGACTGACAGCTTTGTAGCTCTTACAGAAAAGCCATGGGAATTTTAAAAATGAACTATGATTTCAAAAGCAGCAAAAGAGTGGCACATTGGAGAGTTCAGCTCTTCAAATCATCAAGGTCATCTTTGTACCTCCCTTGGATTAGATCACTGTACAGGTATATGGTGTTTTGGGACAAATTTAACGTAACAATTTTGAGGAAGGGTAAATTAGATTCAGACTTTATGATGTCATTGACTTCTGATCATTAGATTTCACAGTCTGTTGAACAGCCATCTTTGCAAGCCTATTGCTATCATTCAAAAGTGATTGACTTAACTCATGCGGATCTGAGCAAGAGAGATACCAATGCACTGGGTCAAATCTATGAAAAATATGGAGGATGTTGTACCTTTAAAAGCAGCACTTTGACTTGGATTACTGACATTCTGGCTCATAATGAAATGATTAACACAAAGTTCAGACATGCGAAGATTACAAAACCAAACTATGCACCTAAGACAACTATGTGAAGAGCAAACATTTTTGAAATGCATTCTATAAGAGCATATTACTAAAATACATTTCCCAGGAAAAGTTGTACTTTGACCAGGATTTTTTCTTTACGCACAAAAGCTACAAAGTTTCTACAGATACATAAACCATTCCACTTTCTAATTAAGGATGCTGACAAACCATTAACCTCTCCTAATAAAAGCAGGTTATTTGGGGAAATCCAAAATGGAGAATAAAGTCATAAAATGGGCTAATTTTGATGTTTGGACGGAGAATATTTTTTTCCATAGCAAGTTCTCTTGAAATATCTTAAAGAAAACCAAGAAGCAACACTACAGACATTTTTGAATGCTTATCAATTACTGACTGTTCTCACACTTGTCTGATTTTCATTACCTATTTAAAATTCACTGAACCACAAATCCATTCCAAGCAATATTAGAATTTAGCTTAGGGTTCCTGTGACTTTGAAAACCCATTGATCCAGATATGCTCCCAAGTAACTGCATGTCAAGTCTTTATAGCTGGGTTAATTCACTTTATAGTTTTCTTAATGTACAAGGTTTTATGTTTTATTACATATCTATTATTTTCAGCATGGAGCGATGAATTAAATGCATATGTAGTTTAAAACAGGTCCAAGGTGCCAGCTGGGACTAATTTTAGAGCACTTTAAAAATTATTATCCCACACCTTTTTTAATTTAAAACTTGAAATGAACATAACAAAAGCCACTCACTTTAGAAAAGATGAAAATCTGTGGAAGCAGCAATTCTAAGGTGATTCCATTTGCCTTATTACTCTAGATGGACAAATAATACTGAAAATTAGCATGCTGTTTCAGGATATGTCAAGTGACTCAGAACCCACTTCTCCCACTCTTACTTATGATGAGCATAAAACTTTATTCCACAAGTAATCATTGGGACCATTCATGGAGCAAGGTACTATGTTTAATGGGAGTAAAGGGGGGCAGTATTGAGATTTTACTTTGCAGTTCTGTAGTTTGTAAAGAGGAATAAGAGGCAGAAGCACTCACTGAAATACTTTTTATCTTACAAATGTTAAATTGACAAGGTCAGAATCCTGTTGGAAATGCCACTAATTTCAGTAGCGTTACCTACAGGCTTAAAGTTGTGCCTATACAGATGTATCTTGCTAAAATCAGGCCCATAATATCTACACTTCAGAGGGAGGGCATGAGACTTCATTAATGTTTGTAAAGCCTTTAACATACTCAGATAAACCAGCTTTGTAGAAGCACAAAAAGTATTATTTTTGGTAGAAATCAGAATAGTGAGCTTTGAAGTACCAATACATGATTCATAATAGATATTGTTAATTACTCAAAGAAGTATCCATAAAACTTACAAACCCCAAGCAAATAATTGGTAACTCAAGAGCTTAAAGTTTGCACACAGCTTAAGTACCTTGCTGAATCAGAGCCAGTATGCATGTTGCAAATCGTTAAACAGGTACAGAGATTGTCCCAAGATCACACAGCAATTCATCGTCAAAGAGGGAAATAAAATGTTTTGAATCCAGGCAGAAGATGCAGGGAAAAAACCTTACTTTTCTCACCCCTAAAATAACAGCTATTCTCACTCTGTGGTAGCCAGGTGTCATGAAAAAAATTCTTGAGAAAATTCAGTGGTAAACCCTACAAGCATAGTACCTTGTGGCTTCCTAGAGACGACATACATGTTCTACTTACACTTCCAATAATCCAACAATATCTTTTCAATGCCATTAACAATCAACAAAGCCAACAAAATAATCCATTGCCTGTATCTCTTTATCAAATCCATAAAGTTCAGTTATTTCCTGATAAGCACATCTTACCTTAAGGAAACAACCCCCCCGCAGATGCTGACCCCTTCCTCCTCCTGTATACACATACCATGGAAAGTTCAAAATGAAAACAACTATTTCACACACACATTTCTGGAGACAAAATATTCATGTAACACCTGGACTGTAAGCCACATTTTGTCATTGCAAAGGAGGGGGGAGGAAGCATCATGACTTACGGAATGCAGTATAGAGTTCTTGCAGGGTTAAGTAACCATCATTGTTGTAATCATCAAATCGGAGAAGATCTTCCAGCGTGCAGTCCAAGAAATCATCTTCTAGAGCTTCTTTCTCCATTAGCTGCGGGAACAAAGTTATACGAATAGTGAGTTGTGACACATTGTAATTTTGAAAGAAAATTTACCATTTCAACAAAGAAAAATGATATGCTCCAAAAACTGAGAATGGCATAAATTTAATATAAAGGGATCCTATCAGACATAGTGCACGTCACAATTAGCAAGGGGTTTAAACTTGACAAGTATTAAAAACCATTATCTTGAAATCAATGCAGGTATTTTTATTTTTCTGTTTTTCATCCTTACAGTCCTATCTGAATTTTTTTGTAGCCATCTTTTGTAATTTATGAGGCAACTGGTTGTGAATTGACTGTTGAGGCGTCTAAGATGTCAGCCATTCCTCGGCAGCATGGGTGTAGAACAGGGCTCATCATAATTGTAGCTTTTTTCTTAGCAGTCTAACTCTTGCACCCAGGTATTCCAGCAGGTGAAGTGAGTTAATTTGTTACTGAAGACTCCATGGAATGCAAGATACAAGGGTAATATTTTAGAATAATACCTGCCCTCTGATAAACATGTTTCAAATAGTTGCATCTGTCACAGGAGATGTTATTTCTTTGCTATTTACAGTATATTAGTGTAGGGGGCTAAAGCACAGGTAGCACATTGCTTTGGCCACTTCTAGTTTATTGCTGCATGAATAGAAATAGGGGCTAAATTTTTCTGACGTGCTCAATTCACTTACAAGCTTAAGTCTCATTTTCAAAAGCACCTAGTCACGGGAGATTTTCAGAGTCAGTGGCAGTCAGGCACTAAACTACCCTCTGTTCCTTTGACAATCTCCCCTTATCACTAAGGGGAAAATTTTCAAAAGTAATTTCTGCATGTTGGACCTTAAGTCCAGTTGACTCTCCTGTGTGCATAAGGGTATGTCTACACAGGGATAAAAGCCCTGCAGCAGGGCCATGGCTGACCCAGGCCAGGTACATGGGGCTCAGGCTGGAGGAATAAAAATGGCTGTGTAGACATTTGGGCTTGAGCCTGAGCTCTGGGACCATCCACCCTCGCAGGGTCCCAGAGCTCAGGCTCCAGCGTGAGCCCTGAAGTCCACACAGTGATTTTTCAGCCCTGCAACCTGAGGTCTGAGAGTCCAAGTCAGCTGACCCAGGCCAGCTGATGGGTTTTTTTTTTTAATCCCTGTATAGATGTACCCCCTGCTCCTAAGTGATTCAGGCACTTTTGAAAATTTTACCAAAGATCCCCAAAGAAACTTATACACTCAACTGCCAATTCTGAGCCCCTTGAAATCAATGGGGACAGAATCAGGCTACAGGAAATAATCATTTGCAACCTGGGGGACTCAGAGGAGGAGGAGAATTTCGACCCCAACACTGCACCTTTATCTCTGTACAGATGCATTAAAGTCATTGTGCCTCTGCAGGGCATCTGCTTGCAGGATCAGGTCCTTGGAAAGATTTTTGTTTGTTAATACATTTGGTTAGTATTTGGGGGTTAGCCGAAGAAACGAAGCCCACAAATGCTAACTCATGTCAATGTAATATCACCATCTCAGTATATTAATAAAAAGGAATTAAATGTCATAAATTGAACTTATATGATTTATATCACGAAGTAAGGGCTTGAGTAAATTGTCAGCCTTGTTGATTATGATGTCAGAGTTGTTCCTGAGGCTGTGGATGGCGTTGTGTACTGCACAACAACTCTAACATCATAATCAAAAAGGCTGACAAAGGAGGTGCTGTCGTCACCATGAATAGGTTGGAATGTGAACAAGAGGCTGCTAGGCAGCTCTCTACCACCACATTCTACAGGCCATTACCCTCTGATCCCACTGAGGGTTACCAAAAGAAACTACACCATTTGCTCAAGAAACTCCCTGAAAAAGCACAGGAACAAATCTGCACAGACACACCCCTAGAACCCTGCCCAGGGGTATTTTATCTGCTACCCAAGATCCATAAACCTGGAAATTCTGGACGCCCCATCATCTCAGGTATTGGCACCCTGACAGCAGGATTGTCTGGCTATGTAGACTCTCTCCTCAGGCCCTACGCTACCAGCACTCCTAGCTATCTTCGAGACACCACTGACTTCCTGAGGAAACTACAATCCATTAGTGATCTTCCAGCAAATGCCATCCTGGCCACTATGGATGTAGAAGCCCTCTACACCAACATTCCACACAAAGATGGACTACAAGCTATCAGGAACAGTATCCCTGATAATGTCACAGCAAACTTGGTGGCTGAACTTTGTGACTTTGTCCTCACCCACAACTATTTCACATTTGGGGACAATGTATACCTTCAAGTTAGCAGCACTGCTATGGGTACCCACATGGCCCCACAGTATGACAACATTTTTATGGCTGACTTAGAACAACGCTTCCTCATCTCTCGTCCTCTTACGTTCCTACTCTACTTGTGCTACATTGATGACATCTTCATCATCTGGACCCATGGAAAAGAAGCCCTTGAGGAATTCTACCATGATTTCAACAATTTCTATCCCACCATTAACCTCAGCCTGGACCAGTCCACACAAGAGATCCACTTCCTGGACACAACACTGCCAATAAGCGATGGTCACATAAACACCACCTTATACCGGAAAACTACTGACGCTATACTTACCTACATGCCTCCAGCTTTCATCCAGACCACATCACACGATCCATTGTCTACAGCCAAGCTCTAAGATACAACTGTGTTTGCTCCAACCCCTCAGACAGAGAAACACCTACAAGATCTCTATCAAGGATTCTTAAAACTATAATACCCATCTGCTGAAGTGAAGAAACAGGTTGACAAAGCCAGAAGAATACCCAGAAGTCACCTACTCCAGGAAAGGCCCAACAAAGAAAGTAACAGAACGCCACTAGCCGTCACCTTCAGCCCCCAACTAAAACCTCTCCAGTGCATCATCAAGAATCTACAACCTATCCTGAAGGCCGATCCTTCACTCTCACAGATCTTGGGAGACAGGCCAGTCCTCGCTTACAGACCACCCCCCCCCAACCTGAAGCAAAAACTCACCAGCAACCACACACCACACAACAAAAACACGAACCCAGGAACCTATACTTGCAACAAAGCCTGTTGCCAACTCTATCCACATATCTATTCAAGGGACACAAACATAGGACCTAATCACATCAGACACACCATCAGAGGCTCATTCACCTGCACATCTACCAATGTGATATATGCCATCATGGGCCAGCAATGCCCCTCTGTCATGTACATTGGCCAAACTGGACAGTCTCTACACAAAATAAATGGACACAAATCAGACATCAAGAATGATAACATTCAAAAACCAGTCGAAGAACACTTTAACCTCCCCAGTCACTCAATTACAGACCTAAAAGTCGCAATTCTCCAACAAAAAAACCTTCAAAAACAGACTCCAATGAGAAACTGTAGAATTGGAATTAATTTGCAGACTGGACACCATTAAATTAGGATTGAATAAAGACTGGGAGTGGATGGGTCATTACACAAAGTAAAAACTATTTCCCCATGCTAATTTTTTCCCCTACTGTTACTCACACCTTCTTGTCAACTGTTGGAAATGGGCCATCCTGATTATCATTACAAAAGGGTTTTTTTCTCCTGCTGATAACAGCCCACCTGAATTGATTAGTCTCATTAGAGTTGGTATAGCAACACCCATTTTTTCATGTTCTCTGTGTATATATAGATCTTCCTACTGTATTTTCCACTGCATGCATCCAATGAAGTGGGATTTAGCCCATGAAAGCTTATGCCCAAATAAATTTGTTAGTCTCTAAGGTGCCACAAGTACTCATTATTCTTTTTGCTGATACAGACTAACACGGCTACCACTCTGAAACCTGTTACCTTATGAGAGGAGACTTAAAGAGCTTGGCTTATTTAGCCTAACAAAATGAAGGATGAGGGGAGATATGATTGCTCTCTATAAATACCTCAGAGATAAAAGGTCGGGGAGGGAGAATAGTTATGTAAATTAAGGGACAATGTTGGCACAAAGCCAATAGATAAAACAGGCAATCAATCCATTTAGGCAGATCTGTGACTGCTAGTAGCAAATATCCCCAATGGCTGGTGATGGGACGCTAGAAGGGGAGGGCTGTCAGTCACTACAGAGAATTCTGGGTGTAACTGATCACCATATTTGAGGTCAGGAAAGAATATTCACCCAGATCAGATTGGCAGAGACCTTGGGGTTTTTTGCCTTCCTCTGCAGCATGGACACAGGTCACTTGCTGGTTTGAACTAGAGTAGCTAGCAGATTGTGTGTAACTGGGAGTCTTTAAATCAAAGGTGGGGAACCTCTTGTATCAGGGGACATTGACCCAACAACAGCAAAATCATCAATGGCAGGCCACGCACGTTCAACTCACCTGCCTGGCGGGGCACGGAGGCTCAGGGCTTCCCGCCCATGGCAGAGCAAGCCAGTGCTCACCGCTCCAGCCCCACAGGCTGCTGCTGGGGGAAGCCCTGAGTCTCCGCTTCCACTTCCCACCAGGCAGGTGAGTTGAATGTATATTTACACACTATACATTTATTTCTCAACATAGGTTTTACCTCTAACAGCTGTTTCTTTAGAATATATATAAACCCTTTTCACATTCCATTCTATATATGGACAGAGCTTTAGCAAACACTTAATTTTTATTCTGAATCTTTTAATTAAGTATAATGTAAACGATTGGATCATTCAATTTATAAAAGAGTATAAATAAAACTGTTGAAATGTAGAATATTCAGGGCAGAAAAATCTTTAAGACTTTCTTTTATTTACAATTTTAGTCTTGACCTTATTGTATTAAAGGCAATTTGAAGTAATAATGCTAAAAAAATGACCCTTCACCTAGCAAGTAAAAAAGTTCAATAAAAGTGAGATCAACCATAACTTCAGAGCTAAATCTTTTAAAGATAGAAATGTCCCTGTCTTCTTTTGTATTGAAAATGTATTAACTTTTCATCTGACTGACAAGTTTTTACTAGCTCCTTTGATTTAATGTCAGAAGGAAAAAAAACAACCCATGTTAGC